GGACTTAGTCGGCAGAATCAAGCGGATTCTCAGCTGGCACATAGCATCGATGTTTAGGGCCAGTATGAGCTTGGATCCGACATGCTGAGGATGGCCGTTCTGGAAAGTCCAGTGAAACTGGGGAAGGCCGTGTTGGAGAGGTGGGCATGGTATGCGGCGCTCAGATGGCACACCGCGGCACTGCGAGCCATGAGTGAGTCCGAGTGAAAAGTGCCGGAGCCCGCAAACCCTGAACCCCCAAATCCAAAACCTCCTCACCCACAACACAAACCCGGAAAAACCCAAACCCCGAACCCTAAAACCTTACCCTGAACCCTAAACCCTAAACCCTCAACCCTTAACCCTGAACCCTAAACCCTCAACCCCTAAACCCTAGACATCCCCAAGCCCTGAAAGCCCGCAAACCCTAACCCTACGAACCCTTACTCCGGACCACTCTGAACACCGAACACCGTAAGACCGAGAGCCCCAAGCCCTGAAATCCCCAATAAATCCTGAAGCCACCTACCCCAACTCCCGAAGCTGCCTCACCCTGAACGGAAACCCTGTAAACCCGAGAGCCCCAAGCCCCAACTCCCGAAACCTCTTCACCCCGAACACAAATAACCTTGTAAAACAGAGAGCCCCAAGCCCTGGAACCGTTGTAAGTGCTAACTCCACGAACCACAAGTCCCGAAACCTCCTCAACCTCAACAGAAACCAGGCTGGAACCCTCTACCTTGAATATAATACCTTGTCAAGCCCCTGACCAAAAAAACGAAACCAGAAACCCCGGCTCCCGAAACCTGCCCACAAGAACCCTAAAAGCCAGAACCCCTTAAGCCCTGGAGCCTTTAAAGATCCTCAAGCCACAAACCCGGACTCCAAACTGCTGGTTTAGGGTTCGGGGCGTATTTTTTGGCTGGTTGCTTGTGTTATATGGTGTTACCCCGGGCACGCGCCCCCCCTAAGGTTTGCATATATGTGTGCTATAACATGCATAAATGACATGTTTTCTTGTATCTTGTGTTAACTGACATGTTTTTGGGCCTGGAACGCAGAACACGTCGAACAGAGGGCCCTGGTA